CTCCCCCCTTCTACCTTCACCTCCTCCTCCCCTTCCTCCTCGCCCCCCCCCCCTTCCCTCCTGGCCTTAAATTGGTTGTTATTGGCACTGGGTCTTGTCGGTTCCCGGTTCACCTGCACCGCCATGAGCTGGTTCACCGGTTCATCTCCTCGCGTCTCAGTCTTACAAACTCACAGCTTTTTGATGGACTAAGTTATTTTATCTATTTGTTTATTTATGGAAATTCTATGGTATATAAATATCTTTTCCTGTTATTTTTTTAGGTTTGTTTATTTATGGAAATTCTATGGTATACAAATATCTTTTCCTGTTATTATTTATAGAATTGTTTTCCTTTTCATAACTCTAAAATCCTATAAGATCAGTAAACCTTCTCTTGTTCATTTTATACATACATACACACACACACACACACATACACACACACACACACACACACACACACACACACACACACACACACACACACACACACACACACACACACACACACACACACACCACACATATATATATATATATATATATTATATATATATATATATATATATATTATATATATTATATATATCTGTGTATGTGTGTGTGTGTGTGGTGTGTACACACACGCACACCCACAAACACACCACACACACACAGATATATATATATATATATATATATATATATATATATATATATATATATATATATATATATATATATGTACACACACCACACACACATACACACACACACAGCCATATATATATGTGTTTGCGTGTGTTTCTAAACACACGCCTACCTTTATTACTGTCATCATCATTTCATTTGTGTTGTCGAAAATGCATCCTTTCCATTATCAATGTGATTATCATAACTGTCATTATCATAATCATTATCATCATTACATTTATTATTCTTCCTGTAATTTTTTTTTCATTATTATTATTGTTATTGTTTTTGCTGTGGTCATGATAACAACTCGATTTTAGGATGTTATCATATGACAGCGATAATGACTTTCTCAATGTAATGATTATCATTATCATTATCATCATCAATTATTGTCATAACTGTCATTAGCAGTGATAATGACAGTACTTATGGTCTTGGAATATTATGATCATTATCATAAACATTGTTATTAATACTCTAATTGACCTATGATCTTTATCAAAGTGATTATCATTGTGGTTATGATAATAAATCTTTTTAAGTATGTTTTGACCATTATCAAATTTCTAGATTTTTTTCTTTTCGTATTATCACTGAATCGCCATTATTATTGCTATCAGCGTCATTATCATTCCAATAATTTATCATATATCCATGATAATATTATATCTCCATCTTCAATCATCATCAGAAGAGAAGAAGAAGAAGGAAGGAGAAGAAGAAGAAGAGGAAGGAGTGGAAGTAAAGAGAAGGAGGAGAAGATGAAGAAGGGAGAAGGAAGAAGAAGGAGAAGAATTGAAATAAAGAGGAACAATAATAGGAAGAAGCAGAAGAAGCAGTAGAAGAAGATGATGAAAAAGAAGAAGGAAAAAGAAGGAAGAAGAAGAAGGAGAAGGGCAGGAGGAAAAGTAGAAGAAAAAAAGAAAAGAAGAAGAAAAAGAAGAAGAAAATAAGGAAAATCAGAAGGAAAGAAAAGAAAGAAGAAGAAGGGAGGAGAAGGAGGGAGTAGGAGTAAAAGTTAGAAATAGAACAAAAAAACAAGGATAATAAAATGAGGTCAAATCAAACCACCTTTTTTTTTTAGAGTCTCTATTTATTTATCACAGTAGAAATTCCTATATAAAAATTAATACACAAACATCAGCTTTGCCGCGAAAGTACATCGAGTTCCAAAGTCAAAAGACAAGGCATACCCTCCCCCCCCTTTACAATTAAGGGGGGAGAAGGGGGAAGGGGAAGGGGGGGAATAGAATGATTGGCTGACCTACATAGTAATTATCTGTCGCCTCATCATTTAGGGTAATTAGCGGCGCATTTCGCTTGCACACTTCCACAGGTGGGGGCGAGGAGGGGGGGGGGAGTGGAGGGGTGAAGGGGTGGGGGTAAGGGCGTGGGAGGGTGGGGGGGGGGAGGAAGCTCATTCATATGAGGCTAAGATTGAGGTTCTCGTCGACTTGTGTGAGTCGACGATCATTCATATGATAATAAATAGTGTTTTTTTCTATCTATTTATTTAGGTATTTTGATATTTATTTACTTAACTGTCTATTCATTTATTAATTTTAAGGGGGGTAATCTCTCCCCGTGTTCTTTCGGCTGCGATTTCCAAGGATTTTTATCTTTTTTTTCCTTTTTTCTTTTTAAATCGCATGTCTCTTTTTATTTTCTCAAAAAAAAAACATATTTCGCTCGTGACTTTATTAACCAGTATGTAAATGAAGCAAGTTCTTACGCTCAGCTGCGTAGACATACCTCGCATTTAAGATAAGAAACGTGAAATCCATCCCACAAATAATATCATAGCATAAAAGTAAGAAAAAAAAAGAAGTCGAATCTAGATCTCTGTGAATCACAACACAACCGTTCATTGTACATCCACACGCAAAATGAGTCATTGTAAGAAATATCAGACATCTGAAGAGAGGAAATTACCCAGGACTCGGTAATCCCTTGTCTTATCCTAGAATACATTACAAATCCAAGAAATTAAAGTTAAAGTTTGAAAAAAAAAAAAACTTGCTTCCAAATGCAGTAAATTCTTCTTCTTTTTTCGAGGGAGAAGGAGTAGGAAAAACAATCGAATGAAGAGAGAGAGAGAGAGAGAGAGAGAGAGAGAGAGAGAGAGAGAGAGAGAGAGAGAGAGAGAGAGAGAGAGAGAGAGAGAGAGAGAGAGAGAGAGAGAGAGAGAGAGAGAGACAGACAGAGACAGAGAGAGAGAGAGAGATTAAAAAAAAGAGAAGAAATCTGCGATAGTATCATTTTTTTTTTACACACACACTCGGAAAGACGTACCATAGGCTTCATATTCTGGGAGGGTAACGCTGTAGTATTTTTTTTTTAATTCTCATACGCTTAATATTACACAAGTTTATTTAATTATAAATATATATATATAGCAAACGCAGGCACACCGTCTATCAACGAGATATGTACACTAACTATTTACAGTCCAGAGTCTCGTACAATTGACGCAATAACCACAAGAAAAGCTGGTATTGCGGAAAAAGGCTGTGGAGGGATACAGCGGGGTATCGATTTTGTCTTAGGTATTTGATACCAATGACTAGGAGAGGGGGGGGGAGGGATGGTTGGGTTGGTTGGGGGGAAGAGGGAGAGGGGGGAGGATGGTTGGTAGGGGAAGAGGAGAGGGGGAGGGGATGGTTGGTAGGGGAAGAGGGAGAGGGGGGAGGGATGTTGGTAGGGGAAGAGGGAGAGGGGGGGAGGTGGTTGGTAGGGAAGAGGGAGAGGGGAGAGGGGGATCAGGTCATGGATGGGGGGGGGGGGGTAAAGGGGGAGAGGGAGGAGAGAAACAAGGAGAAGGTTATGCTTGATGAATCTGTACATTGACCAGTAACGACCCCAAGGAAGAGACACGTATCTGGCACAAACTCCTCGAACAACAGATGGATTGTGCCTGGATAATGAAACTCCAGATGAACAGAGATGAGGAGCCAGAATCGCCAAGAAGGAATCGCAGACTTTTTCCCTAAGACCTTGGAGGAATCACCAGGCAGGTTCCTGTTGTCTGCTTTCCATACAGTGTCTCTTCTTCCACAAAAAAAAGCTATTAGTATTTATTTATCTTCTGGATGAGTACTTCTTTTACAAAGAAATACTCATCAAAAATAGCAATCAGGCTCCCCCATGACGAGAAACCCTACCTGCTTCATGAGGACCACTATTACAGATATCATCAAGACTTTTTTTTGACTTTTTTTTCTCATTTTTAAAGCTCGGTAACGGGTGTAAAAAATGGAAAATGTATCAAAGATTCTTCACTTAATACGATAAGAATCAGCACCACGGTTTGGCTCCTGCCCTCAGGGTGTGTCGCAAATACAGGAAGAGGAACACCCGCACAACCTCAAAACATCATGGCAGTTATAGTCAGACCACAACACCTCATGGCAGTCCACAGAAAGACCTGTATGTTACGTAAGATAACCATACGCAGATATTGGCAGTGTTGGCGCGACCACACTCACACACAATCACGTGATATCACCCAAGATTTGATGGTTCTTCTTCCGCGAGAGATACCAAACAGAAGAAGAATAAAGAAGTGAATAAATAGAGAGATAAGAGTAGCTCCGACTCGACCAAAGAGGAGAAGGGGAAGCTAGAATTGCTTGTGGTTCGCAAACGTGTCCGAGATAGAGGGAAGGAGAGGAGGCTTGCGACCCCACGACCCTGCACTACGACAGTCTTCGTAGAGCTCTTCGTAGAGTCGCCGTAGAGCTAATGATTCAGATCCTTATCCTTTTTATAGAGTCTCCGTAGAGCTAATGATTCAGAGTCCTTATCCTTTTATAGAGTCTCCGTAGAGCTAATAGTATAGAGTCCCTAATCTTCTACAGAGCATTCGTAGAGCTCGTAGCATAGAGCCTCTATACCTCGATAAACTAATAGAACAGTTGATAGCACAGAGTCCCTATCCGTCTTAAGCAAATCAGTGGACAGAGAAACAACAAAAAAAAGCTTTTGAGTTTCGTCCTGTCCTGCGTGTCACTCGGAACCGAAAACAGAACCGAATCGAACTTCAAATCCCTTGCAGAAGGAAGACACGTCGCCCTCTCTTGCCTCCGCCAGATCAAGTTCCTCGCCCTTCTTCTCCTCTTCTTTCTCCTCCTCCTTCTTCTTCTCCTCTTTCTTCTTCTCCTTCTTCTCCTTCTCCTCCTTCTCCTTCTTCTTCTTCTCCTTCTTCCCCTTTCTTCTTATTAGAGGAGAAAAAGACGGATAGACAGATGAATCTTCTTCCTGTCTCTATCTTTGTCTATCCGTCTACTCGGTACATCGCTCTCCTCCTTCTCCTCCTTTCTCCTCCTTTCTCCTCCTTTCCTCCTTTCCTCCTTCTCTCCTTTCTCCTTCTCCTCCTTTCTCCTTTCTCCTCCTTTCTCCTCCTCCTCCTTTCTCCTTCTCCTTCTTCTCCTTCTTCTCATCCGCACTTGCTCTCCCTCCGCTGATCCTCACGGCGTCATCTGCTCGCCCTCTTCTGTGTCACGTGGGGCGCGTGGGCGGCTTGGTGGGCGGCTGAGGCGCTGGGTACTTCTTAGGCGACTTCTTCGGGGGCTGCGAAGGGAGAAAGGAGGAAGTCAGATTTTTAGAAACGGGAAATAAAAGACTTATAAGAATAAGATAAGTTTTGATAATACTTTTGATAAGTTTTCTTTATAAAAATGAGGGTGATAAGAATAAGATAAGTTTTCTTTATAAGAATGAGGGTGATGATGAGTTGTGGTAATGGTAGTAATAACAATATACATTACTATTATTATTATTATCATAATCATTATCTTTATCATTATTACTATTAGTGCTATTAATATCATCGTCATCTTTATTGTTATTATCATTATTCCCATCATCATCATTATTACTATTATTATTATTATCATCATTATTGTTATTGTTATTATATTATTATTATTATTATTATTATTAGCATTATGATTATTATCATTATTGTTTTTACTGTTGTTATTATTGTTATCATTATCATAATCATTGTGTTATTTTATTCTTATCATTATCATTATCATTATCAATTATCATCATCATTATTATATCATTATCCACCTCATCATCATCATTACTTATCAATATGATGATTATTATCATCATTATTATCACTATCATCATTACCATAACCACTATCATTATCAATGTTATTATCGTTATTATCACTATCGCCATTACTTTATTAATTCTTATCTCAAGAATAAATTCTTTTCTTCTTTTACTCTTTCAGTTACTCTTATTCGAGGTTCCCCCCCCCCTCCCCCCATCATCCCGTTATACACAAAGTTTCATTTTTATTGTTTTGTGTAAATCTATTTCAAAACAAAACAAAAATGTTCGATAACGTTATCTCCTCATTTAGATGTTTTATTGATTGTTGTTATTCTCTTTCTCTGTCATCTCTCTCTCTCTCTCTCTCTTCTCTCTCTGTCGTCTGTCCTCTCTCTCTGTCTCTCTCTCCTCTCTCTCTCTCTCTCTCTCTCTCTCTTCTCTCTCTCTCTCTCTCTCTCTCTCTCTCTCTCTCTCTCTCTCTCTCTCTCTCTCTCTCTCTCTCTCTCTCTCTCTCTCTCTCTCTCTCTCTCTCTCTCTCTCTCTCTCCCTCTCTCTCTCTTCTCCTCCTCCTCCTCCGTCCCCCCTTCCCTCCCTCCTTCCCTCCTCCTTCCCCCTCCCCTCCCTTCCCTTCCCTCTCCCTCCTCCACCTCCCTCCCCCTCTCCCTCTCCCCTCTCTCCCCTCTCCTCTCTCACCCCCCCTCTCGAAAATGTATAACGGTAACAGATAAAGCGAAAGTTCTGATGGCAAAACTCCCAGCGTCGAATTTACGCTCAAAAGCAACGTTTGACTCGGAAACGTTTTTTTCTCTGAACGTTTCCTTCTCTTAACGTTTCCTTCTCTTAACGTTTCCTTCTCTTCTTAACGTTTCCTTCTCTTAACGTTTCCTTCCTCGTTTCTTCTCTTAACGTTTCCTTCTCTAACGTTTCCTTCTCTAACGTTTCCTTCTCTAACGTTTCCTTCTCTTAACGTTTCCTTCTTTAACGTTTCCTTAACGTTTCCTTCTCTTAACGTTTCTTCTCTAAACGTTTCCTTCTCTTAACGTTTCCTTCTCTAAACGTTTCCTTCTCTTAACGTTAACGTTTCCTTCTCTTAACGTTTCCTTCTCTAAACGTTTCCTTCTCTTAACGTTTCCTTCTCTTAACGTTTCCTTCTCTAAAACGTTTCTTCTTCTCTTTAACGTTTCCTTCTCTCGTTTCCTTCTCTAACGTAACGTTCCTTCCTTAACGTTTCCTTCTCTGAACGTTTCCTTCTCTAACGTAACGTTTAACGTTTCCTTCTCTTAACGTTTTCCTTCTTCTTAACGTTTCCTTCTCTTAACGTTAAACGTTTCTTCTCTTAAACGTTTCCTCTAAACGTTTCTCTCTTAACGTTTAACGTTTCCTTCTCTAAACGTTTCCTTCTCTAAAACGTTTCCTTCTCTAAACGTTTCCTTCTCGTTAACGTCTTCTCTTAACGTTTCCTTCTTAACGTTTCTTCTCTTAACGTTTCCTTCTCTTAACGTTTCCTTCTCTTAACGTTTCCTTCTCTTAACGTTTCCTTCTCTTAACGTTTCCTTCTCTTAACGTTTCTTCTCTTAACGTTTCCTTCTCTAAACGTTTCCTTCTCTAAACGTTTCTTCTCTTAACGTTTCCTTCTCTTAACGTTTCTTTCTCTTAACGTTTTTCTCTAAACGTGTTTCCTTCTCTTAACGTTTCCTTCTCTTAAACGTTTCCTTCTCTTAACGTTTCCTTCTCTTAAACGTTTCCGTTCTTCTCTAACGTTTCCTTCTCTGA